TTACCTGAGTGACGCGGACGACTTCGGAGATGGGAGCAACGAGCTGAGCGCCTTCTTGTCGAAGCATGCCTCGTCGGACAAAAGGGAGGTGAAGGTGACGGGCACCGACTCGAATTGCGCCCCGACTACTCATGAGTACACCCTCCATGAACAGAAAATCAAGGGTCAGACATCTGGCCCGGGCCTGGACGACTGCATCACACTGGCGACGGGTTCGTGAAGGAGCTGTTGAAGCGACTGGAGACCCAGATGAAGGATCTGGGCTCTCTCGACGGCGCCAAGCTGTTCACGCAGGGGGCGTATCCGAAATCTCACTCGAAGCAGCAGCGTCGGATTTTGCAGTGGCTGGAGGCTCTCCGCAATCTGTTTGAGCGGAAACCGTCCGACCCTGACACCCTGCCTGGTACGTCTTCGATTTCGGTGGTGCTTGATTGAGTTGTCCAGGGTGTTTGTGTCACCGTATGCTTCGTTGGTTGTATGAGCTTGTGTACTTTAGTACAACAGCCCGTATTTTCATTAAAAAGGTTTCTGATTCACACCCCGCCACCAGGAATCAACTGGACGAGAGCACAGAAGGAGATCAGCAGCTTCAACACGATCATGTCGACCCATCACCACGAGCTGAGCTTCCAGGACGGCCTGAAGCAGATGCTCAGCTCACCCGACTGGTGCACGGCCTACCCCAACCTGGTCCGCCTTTGGATGGCGGTCGCAGTGCTGCCCCTGAGCACCGTGGAGTGCGAGCGGGGCTTCTCCCGCCAGAACGTCATCAATAGCTAGCTACGCGGCAATCTCAACGACGCGAAGCTTGGCGACCTGATAACCATCTCCATGCTGAAGTACGAACCTGACTGGCCCGCCCTTGTAGAGCTGTGGAGAGGTGCGAAGAAGCAACGCCCAGCCAAGGATATGGTGATGGTGCATGCGCAAAGGCCTCTGAAGTGCACGAGGAAGACCCTTGCGATGCTGGCCGCGAAGCAGGCGGCAACAAAAGCAACAGCAGCAAAGGCTGCTGCTCGTGAAGCAACAGCTGCAGAAGAAGCAGCCAGGCTAGAGGAGGAGTGGGGCCCCTGGCAGAGACGGGCAGACCACGGCAAAGAACACATTGCTTCAGATTCAGAGCTAGATGGGGACGACGAGGAAGATTATTCTCATGATAGCGACAGTGACTCCTAGTTCATTATGAATGTATGGTTATCTGTAGTAATAGAGTATAGTATGTGTGTAGACCATATAGTTAAATAAATGTCTGATTTCGTGTAAATCCGTCTAAGCCGGCATACTAACTTATAAAATCTCTTTGAGGCAAAGACCACCAGGAATCCTCCATATGAGGGCCAGACATTTTTTTTTTTTTTTTTTTAGGAAAACGTCAGACGGGCCTAAAAGTTAGCAAGAGCCCTGATTCAATGGGGTGCCTTGAATTTCATCATCTTCGACGGAGAAAATATTTCGTTTTTCGACAATGAGTGATGTTTCAACTCGACCAACAGGAATTCTTGATGTTGCTAAGCGTTTCCATTCTCAATGTCGGAAGTCTGTCGAAAGAAAAAAATACAAATACCACCTAGTTTTTTAGTGTGGTTAGTTTCACGTCTGTTCGACAGGCCGGATTGAATATATTCCCCCACAAATTTTCACATTTTTGTCGAAAGAGCACTGCAATACTTCATGTCGAACAGATCGTCGCGGTTTACCCTGAATGTAGATCGACAAAAGAAACTATTGACTAAAGAGACCAGTTCTAGATTTTCGAGGACTATCTTTCGCTTGTACATGTCAAACTCGTAAAGCAATGACATAACCCCGTATGTTTGCGCGGAAAATTTCAACTAAGACAATCCAATCGTCGAGAATGTTATTTTACTAGACCTGTCAGACTTTATATTATTTATATTTGTAACTGCCTGTAGCTGTAGTTAGTGTAGTTATTATAAACCTAGCTTGGTGGTGCACCTTCATTATTTCCTATGCTATATGTTCTTTGAAACCTATAGTGAAACCCATTCCCCACACTTTCTTCTCAACTCACTCGATACCTCGCCTAGGGAAAAACTACTCGACACCTAAGTTTGGGCCTAGGCTACTAAGCCTAGGCCCTTCCTTTCAACTTAACTCTCGTTCTATTCTCAACAAGACCAAACAGCTCTACGATCGCCGAACACCCTATTTCAGTTTCCTTTGTAGCAACGAGAGTCACAGTCACAGAAATGATCAGCAATTCTTGAGTTTTACAGTACATTAATGCTCGACGTGAACGGGACAATCGACAAAATCAATATTATTGTCGCAACAAAGTTTTCCAACTGCATTTTCTTTCCGTACCTTGAAAAAAAAAAGATTATTTTCGACATGCCCTAGCATTTTAAATGTATAAAACTACTACACTACGCTCAACTATAAGTCATTCGACGGTGCAATAGCGCATGTGATTCCAGGTGTCGTAGAGTTATATTCGATGACGAGTCCTTCTACGATGCACGTCATTCTTGTCAACAGATGATTGATTTCGACGGCGTGGTGATTTTCAACGTGTGATATTCTGTTCCCGTATAGTCGTCTTCGACTACCCCCCTCCTTCCCCCTACGTCGTACTGTCGAAGAGAAAAGCCCCACCCTCGCTTGGGCGCAGCCGATCTCGGCGTCGACGAGGAGAGCTCAACAGCGTGGTCGTCGAGGCCTCCTTCAGTGGTGGTCAAGCATGCCCTGCTCGATGGGACCCGATTAGTGTGGTCTTGCCGTCGACCAGGTAGCTCGACGGCCTTTTTTGTCTGAAATGCTAGGCAGGAGTGAATGCACTAGGAAAGTGTTGGGTACAACTATGAAACCCTACAAGGGGTTGTACCCCATATTGGCTACCCCACTACAACCTAAACATATATAGCATACATATAATTTAACACACCCCCATAGGCAAAGTGGGGGAGAGCAAGGGGTCACAAGACCAGTCAAGAGAAGCAAAGCAAGCTCAGGGTAGATCACAACGTCACCACACACACTGAGCACAAGCAAAGGGGCCACAAGGCCAGTTCACATGCAGAGGTATATATGCAACAACAACAGCACAGTGATCTCTACCTAGCAGAGCAAGCATGCACGTATCTATAAAGATGACAGTACAAATGAAGTCTACACCAAGTGAGGAAACGTGGGCACAAGGCCTAACAAAGTATAAAAACGTTGATGATCACAAGACGGAAGTGCCTTGGTGAATATATCAGCAGTGTTGGCCCGAGTGGCCACGTGAGCAAGACGAAGCTCACCACGCTGCTGCAACTATCGAGCAAGGAAGTAACGCAGAGCGATGTGCTTCGTTCTGTGCTCTAGTATGTGCTCCTGACACAAGGCAATGGCGGCCTTGTTCTCTACGTACAGAACTGGAGGAGAACAAGGCCGCTCTCCCTGGTCGGTCAGCAGATAGGTGAGCCAACATACTCCTGTGCAGCCATGGTTGTGGCGTAGATCTCAGCCTCACAACTGGAGCTGAGAACAGAAGACGAGCGTGTAGACCGCCAAGAGACAGAGCCAGAGCCAAGACTGAAGGTGTAACCCTGTGACGACTACTGCGTAGCCAGGTCGTCAACCAAAGAAGCGTCCGAGTGCCTAGTGAGGACAGCGTCGCCCCGTCCTCCAAGCACGAGCCCCATGCCCGATATACTGCACAAGTAGTGCAGTACCCTCTTCGCAGCATCCATGTGCACCTTTCGGTACCTACCAGGAGCCACGTAGCGAGCTAGAAGGCCAAGAGGTTACGCAAGGTCAGGACAAGTGCAGGTCATCAGGTACATGAGGCAGCCCACTAGCTCTGGGTAATGACCACTTGGCTCTACGAACTCGTCTGAAGGTGGAGCTGAGAGCGAGTGACCTGTAGCCAGAGGAGTGGCCTATGCCGAGGACCAGGTGAAGCCGAAGCGCTGAAGGACCTGCTACACCATGTGTGACTGAGCTAGTGTGATGGTGCGGCGTGTTGTGTCCCTGGTGATCTGAAAGCCAAGGAAACTGCGCAGCTCACCCAGGTCTGTGCACGTGTGTCTCTTCTGCAGCTCCGACTTCACCAAGGCGAAAGCCTCAGTGTCAGCAGTGGCAAAGACCAAGTCGTCGACGTACACGAGGATGTAGAACGGCGGCAGCGAAGTGTCGATGCGCAGAAACAGCGATGGGTCAGCAGTGGAAGGAGCAAACCCAAGAGCCGCAAGTGTCGTCCTCAGTGTGTCGTGCCACTCACGCGGCGCCTGGCGGAGACCGTAGACTGGCCGCCGGAGGCTCCACTGGGTACCAGGAGGGAACGACCCAGTGAAGCCAGGTTGGCGGCGCAGCCAGATCTTCTCGTGCAGGCTGCCCTGTAAGAAAGCTGTGCTGAAGTCAAGAGAGTGAAGCTCGTAGTCATGCTGAGCGGCAACGTGCAGCAGCACCCAAAGAGTGGTCATCTTTGGGGTGGGGGAGGAGTTCTGGAAGAAGTCAACTCCCTCACGCTGACTGAAGCCTCGAGCAACGTAACGAGCCTTGAAGGCAGGCGGAGAACCCAGCGGCCGCTTCACCCTGAAAATCCACATGCCACTGACGATGTTCGCCCCAGGAGGGGGAACCTCGTCAACGTAAGTGCCTCTGCGTCCATGGCTGTCTGCCACTGAGAGGAGTACTCACCTGCGATTGCCTCAGTGTAAGAGCACGGGGTTGGGATGTCTGGAGCATCCGGGTCTCCCTCAGGGGCAAGCAGCATGGTCATGAGATGAGGCGCAGCGGCTGCAAGACACTAAAGGTCCTCTTGCGTGTCCTCAAGGACGTCCGTGCTAAGAGCACACTCAGCCCCGGCGGACGGAGGACAGACAGACTCAGACTCAGCAACAAGACTAGCGGCATAGTTGAGACGACAGGCAGCAGCAAAGTCTACAAGCTCAGTGACTAAGGGAGATGCAGCAGCAGACTCAAACGACGGGTCAGTGACAACAGTGGCTAGCAGACGCGTGACACTAGGGTGAGCAGCACGAGCGCGGTCAGACTCAGGCTCTAGAACATCAGGCAGAGAAGACGCAGGAGGGGACGGGAGGGGAACACGCTGCAGAGCAGAGGAAGGACGGAGGTCTATGAGGTGTGTGCCAGGGACAGCCGGCGGACGCTCATGAGGAACACGACGACTAGTACGACCAGTGCGGACAGTGCAAACAGGCGAGAGAGGACGAGACGCAGGCTCACGACGCCCAGTAATACCTCCGGTCTGCTCAGTATAAGGAGAAGGAGCAGGTAGCGGTGAGCCAGGCTGTAACGGAAGACCAGTAGAAGACGGGAGGCTAAGAACCTGGCGAAGCACGGAGTCAGGCGGTGGCATAGACGAGGGCGACGACGGAGCGAAGAACAGTCGTGGTTGGGCAGCGCCACCAGCACCAGCAGCTCCAGTATCTCCAGCACCAGCACCTCCGGCGCTAGCACCTCCAGTACCAACACCTCCAGTAGCTCCAGAACCTCCAGCTCCAGCGCCTCCAGCGCCAGTACCTCCAACAGCTCCAGGACCTCCAGTAGCTCCAGAACCTCCAGCGCCAGCACCTCCAGTACCAGCACCTCTAGCAGCTCCAGAACCTCCAGCTCCAGCACCTCCAGCGCCAGTACCTCCAATAGCTCGAGGACCTCTAGTAGCTCCAGAACCTCCAGCGCAAGCACTTCCAGTACCAGCACCTCCAGCAGCTCCAGATCCTCCAGCTCCAGTGCCTCCAGCGCCAGTACCTCCAACAGCTCCAGGACCTCCAGTAGCTCCAGAACCTCCAGCGCCAGAACCTCCAGTACCAGCGCCACCAGCAGCAGAACCCCCAGACTCAGCAGAACCACCAGCCCCAGAAGCTCCAGTACCTCCAGTACGAGCACCTCCGAGACCACCGGCTCCAGTAACTCCAGTAGAAGCGCCTCCAGTAGTTAAGTCACCAGCTCCAGTGCCTCCAACGCCAACGTCGACCGCAGCAGGGCCCCCAGCTCCAGCAGTGCGACCCTGACGGCTAACGTACCACTCACGCAGCTGCTGTGGGGAGAGAGGGAGACGCCGACGAGAGAGCTGCGGCGAGGCACCAGAGGAGCGACTACGGAGGCGGCCGCTCCAAGGAGACTGCACACCAGGCGTCTCATAGCCCCCAGGCGCAGTACCCCCAGACTCACTACCCCCAGGCGCAGCACCCCCAGGCTCCGCACCCTCAGGCTCAGCACCCCCAAGCTCCTCACGCTCAGGCTCAGCACCTCCAGGCTCCACACCCCCAGGCTCAGCACCCCCAGGCTTCGCACCCCCAGGCTCAGCACCCCCAGGCTCCACACCCCCAGGCTCAGCACCCCCGGAAGCAGAACCCCGAGCAGGACCACCCCCAGCAGGACCTGACTCACCCGTGACCTCAACCGGCTCAGTCAAGGGAGGAAGGTCTACCTGAGACACACCTGAAGGAGCAGGACATGGAGTGGGGAGGGGGTCTACCTGAGGAGGACCTGGAGCGAGAAAGAGCGGCAGGGGGGGGAGAGAGGTAGTGTGGTAGGGAAAGAGACGGTAAAAGGGGACCGACTCAACGAAGGTGACGTCCTAAGACGCAAAGACACGGCATGAGGCGGGGCCGTAAAACTGCGAGCCAGGCGTGTCAGGGACAAAGCCGAGGAAGACGCAGGGAATGGCGCGAGGCGAGAGCTTGTCCGTAGTGGTATCGCGGACAAAGGCACGAGCACCCCAGACCCGGAAACGCGACGCATCGCCAACCTTCCCTGTCCAACGCAGTGTGGGCGAAGTCTCCGGCACGGAGACACGGGGCCAGAGGTTGAGCTGCTGCGCAGCGTACCGGACCGCAAACGGCCACAGAAAATGGGGGGCAGCCGCATGGAGCATGGAGGTACGAGCGACCTCCATGACTAAGCCAATGCGGCACTCAGCAACCCCATTCTACTGCGGAGAGGCCGGAAGCGTGAACGTCTGGCGGATGCCGTGCTCCTCTCAGTAGGCTCGCAAGAGGTCGGAGGTGAACTCACCACCTCTGTCGAAGTGCAGACGCAGGACAGGAAAGTCCGAGTGGAACCGCTCGCGGAGCTAGAGACGAACAGCGCGGATCCAAGGGATCAAAACATCAGGGGCATCCCCCTTGCGCTGCAAGGGGAAGACCGTGGTGTAACGCGTGTAGTCGTCGACGACCAGCAGGAAGTACCGCTCGTGGCCCTGTCCACGGACGTGAGCTGGGCCCCACACGTCCAGGTGGAGAGTCTGCAGCGGAGCCTCTGTCGGAGGGAATGAGGAGGAGTGAGGAGCGGCGCACTGCCGCCCCTTGACGCAAGGAATGCAGGGTGGCGCAGGCAAGGGAGGGAGGGAGGGCAGAGACCTGGGAAGACCAGAGACCAGGTGGCGAAAGTGCATGCCACGAAGGCGAGGCTGGGAGGGGTGACCAAGGCGGTGGTGCCAAAGGAGAGTCTGGTGCGACAGGCTGCGACACTCACACCGGGTAGCTACCTGAGCGGACGCGTACAGCTGAGGAGACAAAGGGGTGGGGCGCGACGCAGTGGTGAGGGTGTACAGACTGGACCCATGCGCACGTGTGAACGTGGCCAGGTGACGGCTGGTCTGGGAGCACATGCAGATCGTCACACGCTGTCCTCTAGGAGTAAAGGTGTCAACCCAGTGATCCTGAAGGACGGCGGTGCTCACCAGGTTCGTAGAGAACAAGGGGAGGTGGAGACCGGACAGCTCACCAGACGGGACCGCCGGACACGGAAGCACAGTAGTGGTCCGTGCTAGCACTGGGCCCCCAGAGGGGTCGGCCAGTGAGACAGGGATAGGTGCGGGGAGGGGAGTGACTATGGTGCTATCGCGAAAGAAACAGCGGGAAGCACCAGAGTCAAATGTAAAGGTGTACAAAGCCTGAGCGGACGCACTACCAGGGAGAGCAGACTCGCTAGCACCTAGGGCTGCAGACTCTATACCTGGGTCAGGCTAGCACAAGTAGCAGTCACCCTCAGCACTAACAGTCAATGCATACATGGCAGCGAGAATTGCATCATAGTCAAGATCAAAGATAGGAACACCACGCCTAGACAGGTCTGCCCAGTGGGGAAAGTCAGTAGCCTTCGGAAACTTGGCGCGCCAGGCGTCGCTAAGCCGAGAGAAGCAGCGGTACTCAGTGTGAACACCGTTGCATGGGCGACTAGTGCGGGGACCCGTGCGAATGATATAGGGGCAGCAAACAAGACCCCCAGACGCCCCACGCTAAGCATACCAATCACAAAGCTGCTGAGTCGTGGGGGTCTCACTGTGGCTCTACTACTGCTGCTGCTGCTGTCCCTAGCCACCACCGGAGCTCCCCTTCTGGCCGGATCCACTCCATCCCCCACCACCGCTGCCACCACCGCTCCCTCCTCCCCCACTACCGCCGCTGCCACCTCCACCGCTCCCAGTGGCACCGCCGCCCCCACCACCACCTCCACCCCCACGACCACCCCCACCACCTCCACCTCCCCCGCCGCCTCCACCACCGCTCCCTCCACCGCCACCCCCACCTCCCCTGCCACCCTTGCCGCCCCTGGCGCTGCGGTGCTTCCCACTAGGAGCGGAAGCAGCCCCGACCTCCTCAGCACCAAGGTAGTCGAGAGTAGCAGCAGCGGAGGCATAGGAGGGGGCAAGAGGGGAGGGGGAGCACCCCTCAAAGAGGGGAGTGCGAGGAGTGCCACGAGCAGCACCTACAGCAAGAATGTTCTTTTTGGCTGCTAGGAGGTGCTTCTCGAAGTCGTCGACAGTGAGAGTGGTAGGGTCTAGCGCGAGAAAGTGGTCCCTGACGGAGCGAAGAATGTCAGTGAGGCCGAGTAACGAGGAAGTATAGAGTAAAGTACATCGGTGGTTGATTTTGGGCGAGGAACTCATCTGAGAGGGCAGTACGAAAGCGAGCGTCGCTAGTGCGCAGGTGAGAGATGAGGTCCTCAGCAGTGGTAAACGAGGATAGGTCGGAGAACAGGTAGGGTAGCATAAGGCGACCTAAGGCTGCAGAGGCCGGGGAGGAGTAGCGGGCAACTACAGCGTCATACACTGCCTTAGCTATCTTGTGCTGGCTAAAATGTGCGCGCTCTGTGATCGGCAGATGGTTGCGAATAGCGAGGCGTGCAGCAGCATCACGAGTCTGCCACTGTGAGCGGTCGAGAGCGGTAGCAGTATCAGCTGGAGCAACGGCAGTGCCAGACACGTGATCGAACAGTGAAACACCGTCCTTGGCATCAGTCATAAGAAACAGTTGCAGGTCGTCGAGCCAGGTGGTAAACTCTATCGAGCGATCGTCAGGATCGAAAGCAACAACATTAAGCGTCGCCATGATTGCAGCGCAGGCAAGAGTAGCGTGCAGGCGGTAAGGCAGAGTGCAGGCCAGGAGAAGCTGCGTGCAAGTGGCTAGGGCGGCGCACGGGGCAGCAGCGGGCCGCGCGCGGGCTCCTAAGGCGGCGCGCGGGGAAGCGGCGGGCCGCGCGCGGGCTCCTAAGGCGGCGCGCAGGGCAGCGGTGGGACGCACGCAGGCTCCTAAGGCGGCGCGCGGGGCAGCAGCGGGCCGCGCGCTGGCTTTTAAGGCGGCGCGCGGAGCAGCTGCAGGCTGCACGACCGGCGGAGGCGACGCGCGGGGCAGCAGCGGGCTGCGCGGGCGGCGGACGCGGCGCGCGGGCCAGCAGCAGGCTGCGCGCGAGCGGCACACGCGACGCGCGGGGCAGCAGCGGCCTGCGCAGGCGGTGGACGCTGCGCGGGCTGCTAGAGTGGCGCGCGCGGAAAAAAAAAAGGCAGCGCGCGCGAGCAGCACAGCGCAGGCAAGGCAGGGCGCGCGCATGAGGCGCAGCGCAGGCAAGGCAGGTAGGGCAGCGTGGTAACTGCAACGGTAGGTGGGCCAGAAGTAAGACGGTCCTACGGACCTACTGCTCTGAAACCATGTCTGAAATGCTAGGCAGGAGTGAATGCACCAAGAAAGTGTTGGGTACAAGTATGAAACCCTAAAAGGGCGGTTGTATCCCATATTGGCTACCCCACTACAGCCTGAACATATATAGCATACATATAATTTGACATTTTTCAGCGGAGCAGGACGTCGAAGTGGTCGTCAATCTGCACAGGTGTGACACGGGGCTGGAGTCGTCGACAAGGGAGCTCAACAGCTGTAGCAGACTGGGCTGGTTGACGGGCGGGCCGTCAACGAGGAGGAGCAGTTCGACGGAGAGGTCGACGGAGCAGTCCGCCGACCTGCGTAGGACATATGAGTGTAAGTCGACCAGGGTGTTCCTCAACGGGAGTTGTGGTCGATGAGGGAGGCGTCAACCAGAGTACTGGGTGGTTGACCAGGACGCTGCGGATCCGGTCTACTGGGTGGTTGACGGGAGCTATTGTCGAGCAGAAGTGATGCTCGACGAAATCCTGGATGTAGCGCCAACGAGCAGCGCTGGTCGACGACAATGGTCGACGAGCCCGTCGAGAGGCATTGTTCGACTGGTCTATCGAATAAGAGATGCTCGACGGCGAAGCCTGTCGGCTGTGCGAGCTTTGCCTATGAACATTGGCGAAGTCAACCTGCAATAAGGTATCCCGAGGTCGACGTGAAGCATCTGGCACAACTGTCAGCACGTGTTCGACCACCTACAAGCACCTGCAAAGTGGGTGCGCGTATGCGCTATTGTCATTTTGCGTGTGAAGTTGGGATCATAGTCGAATTGTACTAGATCTATTGATAATTATGGTCGACGAACCCGACAAGAGGCACTGTTTGATAGGTCCATCGAAGAAGAGATGCTCGACGACGAAGCCTATCGGCTGTGCGAGCTTCGCGGTAAGGAACATTGGCGAAGTCGACCTGCAATAACGTATCTAGAGGTCGACGTGAAGCATCTTGTGAGAATTGTAGAACAGGAATGTGTGAACTATGAATGAAGGCAGTACAAATATGAAACCCTAACTGGGTTGTACCCCCTATGGGATACCCCACTACAGCCTACACAATAGTATAAGCTATAGATATGTTCTGACACACCCCCATAGGCAAAGTGGGGGAGAACAAGGGGTCACAAGACCAGTCAAGCAAAGCAAAGCAAGCTCGGAGTGGATCACAAAGTCACCACACAGTCCGAGCACAAGAGCAGGGCCAGAGGCCAGTTCACATGCAGGAGTACAGACATATATATATAAAACTAGACAAGCAAGAGCAGGTATATATATATATATGTCACAGTACAAGTAAAGTCAAGAGGAGAGCAAGTGAGGCAAGACAGGCACAAGACCCAGCTGGGTGCAGAAGCGCTGATGGTCACAAGGCGCGAGTGCCTTGGTGAACACATCAGCAGTGTTGGCCTCAGAGGCCACGTACGCAAGCCACAACTGTCCACGCTGCTGTAGCTCACGAGCAAGGAAGTAGCGAAGAGCAATGTGCTTCATTCTGTGCTCCAGACGCTGCTCTCGACACAAGGCCAGCATGGCCTTGTTGTCTACGTACAGCACTGGAGGAGAACGAGGCGGCTCTCCAAGGTCAGTCAGCAGGTAGGTGAGCCAACGAAGCTCCTGTGCAGCCATGGCCCTGGCGTAGATCTCAGCCTCACAACTGGAGCTGAGAACCGAAGACGAACGAGTAGCCCGCCACGAGACAGAGCCGGAACCAAGACTGAAGGTGTAACCCTGTGACGACCGCTGCGTAGCCTGGTCGTCAGCCCAAGAAGCGTCCGCGTGCCCTTTAAGGACCACTGGACTCCGCCCTCCAAGCACTAGCCCCATGCCCGACGTACTGCACAGGTAGCGCAATACCCTCTTCGCTGCAGCCATGTGCTCTGGTCGGTGTCTCCCAGGAGCAACATAGCGTGCAAGAATGCTCAGAGGGTATGCAAGGTCAGGTCGTGTGCAGGTCATCAGGTACATGAGGCAGCCAACAAGCTCTGGGTACGGGCCACTCGACTCTACGGACTCATCCGAAGGCAGAGCTGAGAGCGAGTGGCGAGTAGACAGAGGAGTGGCCTGAGGCGAGGAGTACGTGAAGCCGAAGCGCTGAAGGACCTGCTGCACCATGTGTGACTGAGTCAAGGTGATGGTGCGGCGTGCTCTGTCCCGAGTGATCTGCAAGCCAAGGTAGTTGCGCAGTTCACCCAGGTCTGTGCACGTGTGTCTCTTCAGCAGCTCGGACTTCACTTAGGCGAGTCCAGTAGTGTCCGCTGTGGCAAAGACCAAGTCGTCGACGTACACGAGGATGTAGAACGGCGGCAGAGAAGTGTCGGTGCGCAGAAACAGCGACGGGTCAGCAGTAGAAGGAGCAAACCCAAGAGCCGCAAGCGTAGTCCTCAGTGTGTCGTGCCACTCACGCGGTGCCTGACGGAGACCGTAGACTGGCCGTCGGAGGCTCCACTGGGTGCCAGGAGGGAAAGTTCCAGTGAAGCCAGGTGGACGGCGCAGCCAGATCTCCTCGTGCAGGCTACCCTGCAGGAACGTAATGCTGAAGTCGAGAGAGTGAAGCTCGTAGTCGCGCTGAGCGGCTATGTGCAGCAATACCCGAAGAGTAGTCATCTTCGGGGTGGGGGAGAAGGTCTGAAAGTAGTCAACTCCCTGCCGCTGACTGAAGCCACGAGCAACGTACCGCGCCTTGAAGACAGGTGGAGAGCCCGGCGGCCGCTTCACCCTGAAGATCCACATGCCACTGACAATGTTCGCCCCAGGAGGGGGAACTGCGTCAACGTAGGTGCCTGTGGACTTCCAGGAAGCCATCTCTGCATCCATAGCTGCTTGCCACTGGGAGGAGTAGGGACCCTCTACGGCCTCCGCGTAAGAGCGCGGAGTCGGGATGTCTAGTGCATCCGGGTCTCCCTCAGGAGCAAGCAGTACAGACGCGAGATGAGGTGAAGCAGCAACCAGACACTGTAACTCCTCCTGCCTATCCTCGAGGACGTCCGTGCCAAGAGCACACTCACCCCCGACGGACGGAGGACAGACATACGCAGACTCAGCAACAAGACCAGCAGCGTAGTCTAGACGACAGCGAGCAGCAAAGTCGACGAGCTCAGCGACAAGAGCAGACGCAGAAGTGGACTCAAAAGAGGGGTCAGTGACGACAGTAGCAAGCAGACGCGTGACAGTAGGACAAGAAGCACGAAGGGAGTCCGACTCAGGGTCGGCAAGTGCAGGAAGAGAGGACTCAGGAGGAGAGGGCAAAGGGGCACGCAGAGGAGCAGTGGACGGACGCAAAGACATCCGGTGCGTGCCAGGGACAGGAGGAGGACGCTGACGCGAACCGCGACCACTAGGGCGAGCAGCACGAACAGGCGACGCAGGACGAGACGCAGGCTCACGACGCTCAGCAAGACCTCCAGTAGGACCAGTGTAAGGAGAGGGAGCAGGCAGTGGAGAGGAAGGCTCCAGCAGTGATTGCGACTGGACAGGCTGTGAACACTCTACCGGAGGAGAAAGACCAAGAACCTGCTGCAGGAGCGGAACGAAGTACGGCCGAGGCCGCGCGGCAGCTCCAGACTCAGCAGGGACAGTACCAGCACCCTCAGCGACAGCACCATCGTCTCCAACACCTCCAGCTGCAGGACCTCCAGCAGCACCACCAGCAGAACCACCGCCGGGACAGACAGCAGTAGTCACAGCACCAACACCCTCAGCACCTCCTGCTGCAGTAGTACCCGCAGGCCCAGCAGCTCCGGGACCGGCAGCACCAGCACCCTCGACGGTCGAAGAAGCTCCAGCTCCAGCAGCACGCCTCCAGCGGCAAGCAAACCACTCGCGCAGCTCCTGAGGAGAGAGGGGCTCCCGGCGAGACGCAGCAGCAGGAGAAACCCCAGGCTCAGCAGCTCCAGACGCAGCACCCCCAGGCTCAGCAGCTCCAGACCCAGCACCCCCTAGCTCAGCAGCTCCTGGCACAGTATCCTCCGGCTCAGCATCCCCAGTAGCAGCACCTCCAGGCTCAGCACCCCCAGGCCCAGCACCCCCAGGCTCAGCACCCCCAGTAGCAGCACCTCCAGGCTCGGCACCCCCGCGCACAGCACCCCCAGAGTCAGCACCCCCAGGCTCAGCACCCGCAGCAGCACCAGAGTCACCAGTAACCTCGACCAGGTCAACTGCGTCTACCTGGGACACACCTGAGGGGGCAGGAACCTGAGGGGGGAGGGGGTATAACGGGGGGGGGACTGGCACAAGGAGGTCCGGCGGAGGGGGGAGGGAAGGAGTGCAGTAGGGGAAGAGGCGGTAGAAGGGGACTGACTCGTCGAACGTGACGTCCTGGGAGGACAGACCCCGACGAGAGGAGGGGTGGTAAAACTGCCACCCGGGAGCGTCTGTGGGGAAGCCAAGGAAGACACAGGGAGCAGCACGAGGGGACAGCTTGTCCGCAGACAAGTCGCGGACAAACGCCCGAGATCCCCAGACACGGAACGCCGACGCATCGCCAACCTTCCCCGTCCACAGCAAGACTGGGGACATCGCGGGCCGAGAGACCCGGGGGTGAAGGTTGATCTGATGCGCGGCGTACGGAACCGCAAACGGCCACAGAAAATGGGGGGGCAGCCGCATGCACCATGGACGTACGGGCGACGTCCATGACAATGCCGATGCGGCGCTCAGCAATCCCATTCTGCTGTGGAGAGTCCGGAAGCGTGAAGGTCTGGCGGATGCCTCGTGCCCGACAGTAGGCTCCCAGAAGGCCGGAGCAGAACTCTCCGCCTTTGTCCGAGTGCAGACGCAAAACAGGAAAGTCCGAGCCGAAGCTCCGCCTGAGCTGGAGACGAGCTGCGCGGATCCAGTCGATCAACACCTCAGTGACCTCACCCTTGCTGTGCAAGGGGAAGACTGTGGTGTAACGCGAGTAGTCGTCAACCACCAGCAGGAAGTAGCGCTCGTGACCCTGTCCACGGACACGGGCTGGGCCCCACACGTCCATGTGAAGTGTCTGCATCGGGGCCTCCGTCGGAGGAAACGGGGAGGAGTGAGGGGTAGCCCGCAGGCGACCCTCGACACAGGGGACACAGGGATGGCCAGGCCCCGGAGGAAGGGGAGGGAGGGACCGGGGAATGCCAGAGACGAGAAGGCGAGAGACCATGCCCCGGAGACGAGGCAGGGAGGGGTGACCCATCCTGTGGTGCCACAGGAGGGTCTCGTGGGACAGGAGGCGACACGAGCAGGGGGCAGATTCAGGACCAGACCTGGACGCTGCAGCAAACACCTGACCCGACGCAGCTACCGGACCAGACGCAGGAGGAGGAGACGGAACAGTGAGTGTGTACATGCTCGACCCCGGACCACGTGTGAACGTGGTCAGGTGTCGACCCGTGTCCGCGTCCGTGCAGTGGGTGACCCGTCGGCGCGCAGGGGTGAACTGGTCAACCCCTGCATCCTGTAGGTCAGCACCCGCCACCAAGTTCGTAGAGAACGAGGGGAGGTAGAGACCGGATTGGGCGCCAGACGGGACCGCAGGGCACGGCAGGACAGTGGAGTAGCGAGCCAGATTAGGACCCCCAGAGGGGTCTGCCAGGGAGACCGCCACTGGCCGACTAAGCGGCGTGAGTGTGGTGCGGTCTCGAAAGAAGGAGCGAGACGCCCCAGAGTCAAGAGTGAAAGTGAGAGAGGGCGGAGCCGACATAGTACCTGAGAGAGCAGACTCACCATCACATGAGGACTCAGACTCACTGGCACCTAGAGCAACAGCCTCACCAGCACCTGGAGCAGCAGCCTCAACAGCACCTAGAGCCGCAGTACCAATGCCTGGGTCGGGCGGGAAACACCGGTAACAGTCACCCTCCTCACTAATAGTCACAGCATACATGGCAGCAAGAATAGCATCAAAGTCAAGATCAAAGATAGCTACTCCCGCCCTAGACAGCTGGTCCCAGCGAGGGATCTCAGAGGCGTCAGGAAACTGGCGGCGCCAAGCGTCAGTCAGGCGGCCGAAGCAACGCTGGGTGGAGTGTGGACCACCATACTGCTCACCCGCACGGTCGCCAGTGCGCAGGACGTAAGTGCACGGACCAGCACCCCCACCCCGCTGACGTGCAGAGTACCACTCAAGGAGCTGCTGCGGGGAGAGGGTCTCCTGACCACGCTGCTGCTGCTGGCGCTAACCACCACCGGAGCCACTCCTCCTCGACGAGCCACGACCACCGCCACTCCCACCGTCGCCGCCGCCACCGCCGCCTCCGCCTCCACCCCCACTACCACCGCCGCTGCCGCCCCCGCCTCCACTGCCTCCGCCGACACCTCCACTCCCGCCACCACTCCCGCTACCACCCTCACCTCCTCCGCTGCCTCTACCGCCGCCTCCACCGCCCTCGCCGCCTCCACCACCGCCCCTGCCCCCCTTGCTCTTGCCAGAGCGACGTCTCCCGCTGGGGGCAGACGCCGCACCGACCGACTCAAAGCCAACAAGGTCGGCAGTAGCAGCAGAGGCGACAGAGGGTAGGAGGGGGGAGGGGGAACACCTCTCAAAGATGGGGGTGCGTGGGTCACCACGAGAGGCCCCTACAGCGAGAATGCTCTGCTCGGCTGCTAGGAGGGACTTCTCGAGGAGCTCGACAGTGAGAGTGGTGGGGCAGACTGCGAGTAGGTCGTTCTTGACTCCGCGAAGGGAGTCAGGGAGGCGGGTGACAATGTAGTAGAGAGTGAAGTACTGGGGGGGGGGTTCTTGGCGCAGAACTCAGCAGGAAGTGCAGCGCGGAAGCGAGCGTCACTAGTGCGCAGGTGGGTAATGAGGTCGGCTACTGTGGCAAAAGCAGCAAGGTCGGGAAAGAGGTACGATAGCATGAGGCGGCTCAGTGCAGCAGTGGCAGGGGTGGAGTAGCGTGCAATAACGGTGTCGTACAAGGTCTGAGCACTCTTGTATGACCCAAAGTGCGCACGCTCAGCGGGAGGGAGGTGGCGACGCACAGCAAGACGTGCAGCAGCATCGTGTGTGGCCCACTGTGAGCGCACAGTGGCATCCTCAGTAGCAGCAGGGGCGGGAGAGGCATCAGAAGTGAGATCAAATAGAGAGAGGCCGTCAGCTCTGTCGCACTGTAGGAAAAGCAGTAGGTCGTCTACCCACACGTCAAAGTCGATGGCTCTGCCCTCAGCGTCAAAGGTGAGGACACTGGGGGTAGCCATGACAGCAGTAGAGAGAGGGCAGTGTGCAGAGGAAAGCTCAGTGCTCACCAGACGGGGCAGTGCAGGAAGGGCTCGGGCGGCTCGGGCAGCTCGGGCGGCTCGGGCGGCGCTGCGGCTCGGCTGCTGGGCGGCTCGAGCGACTCGGCGGCACGGCTGCTGGGGCGGCTCGGCTGCTGGGGCGGCTCGGCTGCTGGGGCGGCTCGGCTGCTGGGGCGGCTCGGCTTCTACGGCGGCTCGGCTGCTGGGGCGGCTCGGCTGCTACGGCGGCTCGGCTGCTGGGGCGGCGGGGCCGGGAGATGAGGCGGCGGGGCCGGCAGGTGCAGCAGCAGGGGCCGGTAGGGGTAGCGGCGGGGCCAGTTGAAGCAGCGGCGGGGCCTGCAGAGGGGACGGCGGGGCCGTCGGGTGCAGCGGCGGGGCCAGTAGAGGGGACGGCGGGGCCGTCGGGTGCAGCGGCGGAGCCGGTAGAGGGGACGGCAGGGGCCGTCGGGTGCAGCGGCGGAGCCGGTAGAGGGGACGGCAGGGGCCGTCGGGTGCAGCGGCGGAGCCGGTAGAGGAGACGGCGGGGCCGTCAGGCGCGGCTGCGGGGCCGTCAGAAGGGGACGGCGTGGCCGTCAGAAAGGGACGGCGGAGGGGCCGTCGGTTTCAGCAGCAGGGCCGGCAGAGGGGACGGCGAAGCCGTCGGGTGCAGCTGCGGGGCCGGCAGGGGCGACGGCGGGGCCGTCAGAGGGGACGGCGGGGCCGTCAGGTGCAGCGGCGGGGCCGTCAGAGGGGACGGCGGGGCTGCGTCTGAGCAGGCGGCAGGGCCGCGTCGTAGCGGGCGGCGGGGCCGCGGCTGAGCAGGCGGCGGGACCGCGTCGTAGCGGGCGGCGGGGCCGCGGCTGAGCAGGCGGCGGGGCCGCGTCTGAGCGGGCGGCAGGGCCGCGTCGTAGCGGGCGGCGGGGCCGCGTCGTAGCGGGCGGCGGGGCCGCGTCTGAGCAGGCGGCGGGGCCGCGTCCGAGCAGGCGGCGGGGCCGCGTCCGAGCAGGCGGCGGGGCCGCGATCGAAATGGCGGCGGGGCCGCATCCGAAGGGGCGGCAGGGCCGCGAGGGAAGGGCGACACGGAGGGTCGCTCGAGCGAGAGGAAAAAAAAAGTTTGCGCGCCTCGGGGCGCGCTTCGGTGGGCCCTAGGCGAAGTTCCCACAGGGAACCCGCTCTATACCATGTGAGAATTGTAGAACTGGAATGTGTGAACTATGAATGAAGGCAGTACAAATATGAAACCCTAACTGGGTTGTACCCCCTATGGGATACCCCACTACAGCCTACACAATAGTATAAGCTATAGATATGTTCTGACACATCTGGCACAACTGTCAGCACGTGCTCGACTGCCTACTGGCACCTGGAAAGTGGGTGCGCGTATGGGCTATTGTCATATGCGTGTGCAGTTGGGTGCATAGTCCAATTGTACTAGATGTATTCATAAATGTATTGATATTTATGAAAACAACGATTCATTTTACAGAGGTCCAACTCAAATATGCAAAAATATTGTTGTACAAGTGATGAGAATACACTGAAAGGGCTACTGTATTTTAATCGCCCAATTTTACAGGGCCTCCAATTTCTCATTAAGTTTGCCTATTGCTGTTTCAATTTTCATTTTTACTTGCACGTTTTTATTTCTGCGGCAGCGGTGCTTGTCAGAGGTCCACTAGTGATCCCCGATTGATCCTAGGAAAGGGTTACAGGCACGTTGGCCTGGGGGGTTATGGGCGCACTTACCCGCTATACAAACAAGCCCTTTTATCCCAATGGTCTAGTGGTTGGGATTCTGAAATGGTATCAGAGCGAAGGTCTCGGGTTCGAATCCCAGTGTATGCACCTCGGGCATCCCAGTGCGGGGAAGTGTCAGAGGTCCACTGGTGATCCCCGATTGATCATAGGGAAGGGTTACAGGCACGTTGGCCTGGAGGGTTATGGGCGCACTGACCCGCTACTTAACAAGCCCTTTTATCCCAATGGTCTAGTGGTTGGGATTCTGACATGGTATCAGAGCGAAGGTCTTGGGTTCAAATCCTGGTGTGTGCACCTCGGGCATCCCAGTGCGGGGGGGTGTCAGAGGTCCACTGGTGATCCCCGATTGATCATAGGAAAGGGTTACAGGCATGTTGGCCTGGGGGGTTATGGGCGCACTTACCCGCTACACAAACAAGCCCTTTTATCCCAATGGTTCTAGTGGTTGGGATTCTGACATGGTATCAGAGCGAAGGTCTCGGGTTCGAATCCCAGTATATGCACTTCGGGCATCCCAATGCGGGGGGGTGTTAGAGGTCCACTGGTGATCCCCGATTGATCCTAGGGAAGGGTTACAGGCATGTTGGCCTAGAGGGTTATGGGCGCACTGACGTGCTACTTAACAAGCCCTTTTATCCCAATGGTCTAGTGGTTGGGATTCTGACAGTGCACTGTAGTGAATTACGCAATGGCGCGTTACAGCCCTTGTGTTTTCCGTTTCAGTTTCCGTTGATTGAGACAGAATCCGTCGACGGAGACGGATTTCCTCGACACGAAAAGGGGGCGTGGGGGGAGGACGCGGGGTCAACGCCAGCTCGAGCGGGGACCACCTCTCGTCACTCCGAGCTAGCAGAGCTCGTATCAGGCGGGCAGGGGGCCGGCTCCCGCCCCTCACGTGCCCCGCTAGGCGACGGCGGGGAAAACGAAATCCCTCGAGGGAAATCCCGCAGGGGCAAAAGGGTGTTTCCGGAGGGTTGTGACTCATATCTTCCCAAAAATGTTTCAAACCTGGAAGCCACCACAAATTCGACACCCACTCCCCGCATTTCCCGGTAACAAGGTGTACCTGCTATATGTAATTGGCTTGGTTTCGTCAAATTAAATTCTGTCGCTCAACACAATGGGCGGATTGTTGATTCCCAGAACTGATTTTCCCGTAACCCAAGTTATCCAAGCGACACCTTTCGATTTCGCGAAGCAAATGTTCGTATTTGGGGGAGCTGTGTCCGCGTAGAGCTAGCAGTTTGTTTGAGTGATATGCTGTGTCCGCATAGACCCTCCAGGATACGGTCGTGTTTGGGTTCGGATTGACTCTCTGCCATCCGAACATCCAAACAGTTGGGGTGTGAAAAAGCCAAAACGAAGTGAGTATGACCCGCCCTAAGGTGTTGGAATTTGTCATTGTGTTTCGGCCAGAAAAATCATCCCGAAAAAACCGCCACAGCTCATGTAGTATCGAGTCGCCCTCCACAGCTTCGGTTCTTTATATCCAAGAACCCATGAATAAGATCAGCGTCAATTAGTTAACGCTCGATCGCGGAACCTAATTCCACAAATTAGATCAGCGACATTCAGAACTCGGTACCCCATTGAACTGAAAACAATGAGGGACAATTTCCTTCGCGATGCTCTTTGGGGTGTCCGTTTCCTCGCCGTGTTCGCGTTAGTAGCTTTAATAACCTTCCAGGAGAAGCTACTCTACGTCCCCGTGGTTCCCGGAGCCAGACGAGAATACCCGTTTACGCCGGATTGCCTTCGGATGCATTTCGAGGACATATGGCTGACGGCAAAGGACGGCGTTAAATTGCACGCGTGGCTGCTCAAGTACACCCCCTCCACTCGAGGTGCCGCAAATCTTTAGTTTCCGGCACTCGGGGTGCACCTTGGCGAATTATCTGATCGCCGACGGATGCTGCCGTGGCTCATAGTCTGCCGCCATTATGATTCTGGTAATTTAGTATTCGGTAGAGCACAGGTATGGTGGCCGGCCGTTGTTGGTTTGAGGCCCACTCTAATGCTTCTGTGCTTGCCCTTCCTGTTGCTCAGACTTCAGCCTTGCTCCACTTCGGATGTGCATGTACTCCTGCTGCTGTGCATGTACTGCTGCTGTGCATGTACTGCTGGTGTGCATGTACTGCTGGTGTGCATGTACTGCTGCTGTGCATGTACTCCTGCTGTGCATGTACTCCTGCTGGGCATGTACTCCTGCTGGGCATGTACTCCTGCTGGGCATGTACTGCTGCTGTGCATGTACTCCTTCTGCTGTGCATGTACTGCTGCTGCTGTGCATGCCTCACCTCATCGTATGGTGATCTGCTATTATGGGTTAATCTTGCCTACTCCGTTGATATAACAGCTGTGTGAAGGCCCCATATTGCGTTTGATTTGGAGCATCGGACCAGACAGTCCAGATTTTAGCCTCTCTCCGAGTTCATGTCTATGATGTTATTAGGCAGTAACCATTCTGTGCCCACTCCAACGTAGGTTCACCATGCCTATGACTCACTCGCAATGCCCATGTTTCACCATGCCTATGACTCACTCGCAATGCCCATGTTTCACCATGCCTATGACTCACTCGCAATGCCCATGTTTCACCATGCCTATGACTCACTCGCAATGCCCATGTTTCACCATGCCTATGACTCGCTCACAATGCCCATGTTTCACCATGCCAAGCTCTCCGTGCCCGCTTGCCCCTTCCTTTCATACTACGTGCAGGACGACATCCATTCTTATTCCACACTGCATGTACCACTGTGGTCACTGACTCGTTGCATCTTACACCACCCTGTTGCACCGCACCGTGCAGGCAGCACTGGATCATCTGCTGGGGTGGGAGGACATAGACGTGGATCGCATCGTGGTGTTTGGGCGGTCGCTGGGAGGGGCCGTGGGGGCCGACCTCGTCCACCGCAACCCCCACAAGGTGAGCTCAGCTCCGTTTTTGACCGTTGACTTCATTTGAAGCGCGAGCTACTGTTGACCGTTGACTTGATTTGAAGCGTGAGCTACTGTTGACTTGATTTGAAGCACGAGCTACTGTTGACTGTTGACTTCATTTGAAGCGCGAGCTACTGTTGACCGTTGACTTGATTTGAAGCGCGAGCTACTGTTGACTTGATTTGAAGCACGAGCTACTGTTGACTGTTGACTTCATTTGAAGCGCGAGCTACTGTTGACCGTTGACTTGATTTGAAGCGCGAGCTACTGTTGACTTGATT